TTATGATCAAACCCAAGTATCGTTCTTCTGTTAAAAATAATTACATTTTGTTTTCTGCTTATACTTCTGCTTTACATACTTCAGCTGCAGTTTTATTTATTTCTTCCCAGCCTGGAGGAAACTTATTTTCTTACCCTGTGAGCTTGGATATTGCTGAAAATTAATTTAGGAGAAGTGATTATTCTGGTGTTCTCTGTTTTCCATTTCCTCCCCCTCTTCTGCCAAGTGGTTTATTATTATTTTCAATTGAGATTTAACACACCTCAGTGTATGCCTGTGCTGTTTTTTATTTTTTTGAGCTCAGTTTAAACTGACTTGCTTGGGGATGAGACACAGAATAGCAGCAGTCATTTGGAGCAAGATGCAGGCTGGCAAGGGAAGGTAATTGTCAGATGTATGTGAGAATGCTTTTTGGCAGTTACACTTTTTAACTTCATCATGACAAAAGCTTCCCTGTATTTCAAGGTCTTAGATGTTTGTATTGAGCAAAACAGAGGGATGGGGGTGGGCAGTTCAGATTAATTAGACACGTTAGAATTGTTTTCTCAGGGCTCAAAGTTGTTGCTTGAGAGATATTTATGTTAGAAATTCCTTCCCTGACAGGTACAAATAAACATTTATTGTAGGTGATGGTAAAGAGAGATGCCCCTGCAAGCTCTGGCATTTCATCTTTTACACGGAGCAAAGGCGTGGGAGTCCAGTGTGCTGATTGTAATTCCTAGGTCTGAAAAATGTTCCTTTGTTAATACCCTGCAGTCGCTGTTTTCTGGACACAGGCTGTAGGGGAATCTCTATGGTGCTGTAGGTATGTTTGCTGTTTTGCAGCAGCAGGAGCTGGAGTGTGCTCAAGTGACACAAGCTGGTGGGAGATGGAATGAAATGCTGTCTTTTGCCTGTGTGCCCTCCTGATTTCAAGGCACATCTTTTAATGCCATTACTCGCCAATAAGCATTATGGACTTTGGTCTGCTTAAGTGTAAGGTTTTGAAAAGCTCTGGCAAACTTTCCTGCTCTGTTTTTAGGATGTTGCTGTACCAGTAAAGCAAGAGATGAAAACTACAATGTCCCGTGGCTTAGATAGACTGAGTTTAATTCCCTTAAGCTTTCAAAGGCAAAAGGCTTTGAGCTAAGGCACTCGCAGACTGAAGCAGCTATGTATGGTTACAAGTATCCTGCTGCTGCTTCTGACAGCTTCAGAAGGAGTAGAGAGGATTGACCTCACACCTCAATGTCGGCGCTGTCTGCCACAACTCCAGTGTGAGTATGGCAGGTCTCAGTTGAAGATACTTTACTGTCACATCATTTACCAAGAGCAAATTATGTAGCTCCAGTTTTTTGCGGTGGTAAAGAAATGAATCAAAACAGGGAGATTTCTAACTTGATCTTGATCATATAGCTGCTGCTGCTACCATGAGGCTTTTGTAAAGCAATTCCTTCTAAAGCATCCAGGAGGCAGTTCCAGCCTGGATCCTGCAAGGGACACCTGTTGTTTTTCTAGGTGACAGAACTAAGCTTTGTTGGAGGATGGGTGGTTTTATAGGACTTGGCTAAGAATTTCAGTTCATCTTGTCCTGGTGCAGATTGTAGAGGGTATGTCTTCAAACCAGAATTAGTTTGGGAAGTATGTCCCCACTACAGAGACTTGTGTGAGACTTGAGCTTATGCTATGAGAGCTTAGGTGGTACACCAAGCAGGCATGATAGTGTTTATTTTATTTATATGATCATTTTTCAACTGGACTATCAGTCCATCACAGCAAGTATCTGCACTACAGTAACCACAGTGCATGTTTTGGTCTGTCTTATTTCAGCTCATGATAAGAAGTACGTTACAATGTACCAGTGACTCCTGAGGGGCAGCAATTAGTAAAATACCTCTAACCTGTTGAAATAGGTTGCCACCACTTCTGCAAAGAACAAATCCATTTCAGTATATGTATAAAAGAGGAGAGGAAAAAAAGCAACACCACAGTTTTTCACTCCTTGCCTTACTGAAGGATCCACATTATGTGGCATTACACTCTAATGTTTATATAGCCTGCTTTGTTTTCATTTGGGGGTGTTCAAAGGGGACTTCAGTGTTGTAGTGAGATGTGCATGAACAGCTGACTGGAAGTTCAAAAGCATTTGTGTCGAGTGAAAGATGGTTTATTTTCCACGTGCCAAGAATCATTTTTGTTTTATTTAGATGAAACCAGATTATGGCATTGAAAACCCAACTGTATTAACATTCTTACATAAAGCAAGTTGGGAAGTGATGTTACAGTTGAACTAATTGTTAATTATACAAATAGTCTTGCTGCATATTTTCTTAAGACTTCAGGAATGTTTTGTGATACAGTAGATTTGGAGAGTTTTTATTCTGAGGGGAAAATAGAGTAGCAAATGAGTTAGGAATGAAGATACTAAACAAGGCATTTTCTGCACTTGGAAGCATGCTTAAAATTGATTAAATATTTGCTTTCAAGCATTTAATCTTCATCTTTGAGGCACTAACATGCTACCTCTGTCTTTCTCCTTA